AATTCTAAATTTTAAGTCTTCAGCATCTAACATGATTACTTATGGACTAAGTAACCTAGCTTACTTGCTCCGGCTTTAATCAACAATCCTCCCTCCCGCCGGATGAAAAAGAAGTGTTTGGTCTATCGACGCTGATACATCTCTAAATGTACTGTTGTTTCGTTCTTTCCAGAGATTTTCCATATGACCAACGTAAAGACGGCATCAAAGCCTTTTCAGCGTATGCACTCCACTGACTATAGGATGTTTTCTCCAAAGAAGAAAGCCAGTTCCATTCTGAATTGCAGCACTGACCATTCACACCATTGCATAGGGATCAGGAATGATTGACACCACGTCCAGACGATGAAGCAAAGAGCAACTGCCGTATGATGTTGGTCAATAAAAGTAAGATGTACTTTCTTAACATGAAGTATGATCTCCCATATCACCTAGCAACATTAAAATTAAAACTCAACTTATACGCGGAAAAAATAACAAATGTTATTAAAGGGTAGACTGAGCCGGTAGTAACTCGAACCAAACATTAGTTTAGGACACCTCCAATAGTGCATATTATGAGTTACTCCTCCGTCCTAAAATTTAATGAATTGAGAGTTTAAAATTATATCAAAATATAAGGTATTCTATATGAACAAACACTTAAAAAACAATATTCACATGCATGTCTACTATTAATGTCTATTATCAACCTAAATATTATATTGTAATATGGAAGGGTTATATGCGTTATTTTTTCTTATCACACTAAAATTATTTGGATTCCTTATATTTTAGGATAGAGGGAGTAATATAGTTGGTTACTCGTTATTGCTGGAATCTGTCGGAGAGTTTGCGGATTAGCTTCGCTGATTCTCTCAATTCCAAGACAACTGGCGTCCTTGCCGTTTCGCCCACCTGGACCGGACCAAAAATGGGCCACGTCACCTATTTGCCCAGCGCGTGAAAATCGTCCGAGCGCTGCCAGCCAACACGCCCGCACTCGCTCATGGGTGGCCGACGACGCACCGCAGCTCAGCGCTCCGCCGCGACGGCCGGCGGGGGCAACGGCGGCGACGCCCTCACGCCCCCCATGACCGCGAGCTGCTGTCTTCTTTGCCGCTGGTATGGTGCCACCGGTCGCCACGGCCGGCAATGTTCCGTTGGCCGACGAGGCGAACGATAATGGCCGCCACTGCCCACTGTTGAGCCTACAGATAGCACGCAGACTATATAATCTTGAGTCCTTAATAGACAATATTCAATAAGTTGTCTCATAGTAACTGATAAATTTTTAATTTGTGTATATAACAAAATTATATAGAAACAACTCATATAATAGTGCATTAGCAGTCTCAGTCTTTATTTTTAACTTATGATACGGTTGTTTCATGAAACATTGACTTCTTTCTTTTTTTCCTCACTTCATTCCTCCTTCATATCATAAAAAATGATACATGAATTTGTATGAGATGACTTATGATACCTTTTTTTTTTTTGGAAAAGGAAGATTTTATTTCATTCCCGAGATCAGGACTTACGGTACTAAGGAATGTATTTGCTCTTAGTAAAAAGAAACTGTTGCTGGAAAAGAGAGCCGATTATCCCCACAAGAAGTGCCCCTCTCGTCTCGGTCTCGGTATCCTTCTGGGGAAATAAGGTGTCCAGATTTGATAATCTCGTAAGCAATGACTTGAGCACGCAATCAATATAGAGTACTTAATTACCAACCGGTGTCATGTGCACGAACGACAGTACAATCATGTGTCTAATTTGATTCTGGCATCTTGATTGGACTTGGCAATTAGCATCATTGATATATCTGGTGCAGTTCTTACTATAGTTTGGAATTGGCAGTGTCCTAATCTGTTCCATCTAACCAGCTAATGGACAAAGTATTGGCTCCTTCCTCGTATCTTAGAGATCCTAATATAACATTGTTACGAGGCGAACTTGCAACTCAGATGCTAGGCCTGTTACATCTTTCACTGTATTAGCAATATAAAACTATATCCGTGACCATTGCTTAGACGAAGGTCTTACCTGTAGGCACGAGGGTAAGACCTTCTCCAGGTAAAACCAACAAAGAGCATGATGTCAAGATTTTATCCTCGTAGCCGCCGCCACCTACCTGCTCCTCGCTCCGCCTCCGGCGCCGCCGCCGTCGTCGTGCCTAGACAAGAGAGTGAGGGGACTTCACTCAAAACAAGAGGGGGCCATCCTTTTCTCGTAGTTTTTTTTTTCTTAATCAGGGTAATAATTTTTGACAAAATCAAATGATTTTTTTTTATTGCGATGATTGATTGTGATCGGCGTTGCGGTGTCAACTTTGAAAGCATCTAGGAGTTGATTTCGGTGATTACAACACGAGATTACTATGAGATCGACGTCATGGTAATGGTAATTGATTGGGCAATCATGGTGGTCATCATGGAAATGGGTTTTCAAAGGATGGACCAAGGTTTGTAGCCTTTATCTACTGGTGTTGGAGAGAGAGGGACTTTGTTTTTCCTTTTGGGAGCCCCTAGGGATGGACAACGACCTAGGTAAGTCTAGTGGGTTAGGTGTGGTGCACACTTGTCAAATCTAGCACTAGGTAGCTCGAATAGCCTTAAGATCAATTGGAGCAAACTTCATTCACATAGGAGAGAAAATCAAGGTCTCGAGGTTATAAATTTGCATCATATGTCACGTGAGTGAAAGTGACCGGACGTTGGGTGCCTACGTCCGGTCAACTCCGAGAGGTTCAAAGAGGAATTTTCGGACCGGACGCGGTCCGTTGGTGCCGATCGACGCTGAGTCGGGATCCGTAATCGACGGACGCCGAACAACGAAGCGACCACGGACCTGGGTGCCGGCGTTGGTCAACATTTTCAGCGATTTGGATGTGTTTTGGATTGGTTTCGAAGCGTTGGATCTTGCGGCATGCTCAATGTTTTGGGATTGACCGTTGGACTCAGCCTCCCAACGGTTTGTTTTGAATAAGTATAAATACTTATTCCACTCGTCCATGGGAGGTCTTTGGCCATTTGTTGGTGGCACCTTGAGAGTGCTAAAGAGGGAAGCCATTGAGGGAAGAAGAACGAAGGAAAAATCTAGATAGAATATTATGTATCTTTTATTTTAGATTTTTTTCATGTGTAATTTTGGGATGTAGTTTGGTATATCCAAAATTTAATATAACTCAAGTCCTCTTTGACGGAGTGTCGAAGAAAAAAAACAATATAAAACCCTGAAATGTGATTCTGACTAGTGGGAGTGACGATTCTCTCCTGTCTTTTTGATTAGAGTTTTGTATACTTATTTGCCTCACGGAGTCACGAATTAATTCTGCGTTAGAATATGAAACACATACAATGGGAGATAGTAGTAAAGTTTTGTGGAATTTTCGAATAGTGGGCATCTTGAGGTACTGACAATTTGTAGCATTTATCACGCCCGGACAGTAGGATAAGGTTGGTGAGAAATCAAGGTCTCGAGGTTATAAATTTGCATCCTATGTCATACCTGACGATGCAACTGCCGATATTTTTTCAGCGATTTGGATGTGTTTTGGATGGGTTTCGAAGCGTTGGATCTTGCGGCATGTTTAATGTTTTGGGGTTGGCCGTTGGATTCGGTTGGCATAAGGGCTGCATTTTGGCTCTGGCGTTCGAGGGAAGCCATTGGGGAAAGAACACGATCGAAAAATCTGAATAGAATATTATGTATTTTTTATTTTAGATTTTTTCATATGTAATTTTGGAATGTATTATACCAAAATTTAATATAAGTCCTCTTTCTTCGAAAAAAAGCAATATAAAACCCTGAAATGTGATTCTGCGTGGTTCTCTCCCTGTCTTTGATTAGTGTTTTGTATACTTATTTGCCTCACGGAGTCACGAATTAATTCTGCATATGCATACAAGGGAGATAGTAGTAAAAGTTTTGTGGCTTCGAATAGGCAAGGTACTGACGGCACGCCCGGACAGTAGGATAAGGTTGGTGAGATACTAAAAACCTTCATACAGAAAACAATAAAAAAGCCTCCCCTTTGTCTTTTACAAAAGTCACCGGCTGCAATGCTGTGATTCGTGATTGCCCTTCCAAACAAAAATTATTTATATTACGGTCAAAGTCATGATTGATAGCTTTCGCAAAGACAAAAAAAAGTCATGATTGATGGATACCTTCAAATTTAAAAAATAAATGGCGTTTTCAGTTGCTCACATCTCACATTGAAACTTAACTTTGGCGTTAAATGGGACGTATACTTATTCGATATGTGTTCTAACAGAAATTTTAAATGATTAGTCCTTTCACTATGACAAAATTTCGTAGAAAGTACGTGCATATACACGTGTTTTTACTGAACTTTTACGTTTTCTGATGCGTCCAGAGCTAACACAAGTTCTGTAATATTGAAATTGATTTATGGATGCAATTCTTTTTCCATTGCTTCAAATTGATAACCCGAATTTGCAATTTAAAAGTTCAAGCAACCCATTCGGAAGCTTCGAAGCTGTAAAGATGTGCTCATATCATTGGGTTCCGATGATAGGAGGTTGATAACTTTACAATACCAATCGATGTATGTATTTCTGTTTCCTTTTTTCTTCGCGAGGATACTCTTTCTGTTCTAAATTATAAGTTTGACTTTCTGCAATTAGATATGCATTATGTTTAGATGGATAGTAAAATAAATGCATCTAGGAAACTAAAACGAGATAGTATAATATGCGATTCACATTGAAACTGTAGGTTCTCGTAGGAATCACGGCATCAGGTAAAGAAAAAAACTTATCCCAAACGGCACAAGACAATCAGCTCAACCCTACTGCAGGAGTATTATTTATAATGACTTCGAGGACCACCGCTTGCAATTGCAAGTCACAATTTGGCAACGATGCACTTGCACACCAATTCCCATGTCGCAGGTTCGCCTATAAATCACTCTTGCCGCCACAGCTAGTGGCACAACACTCGCCTTGTCACTTCACCGTGCGTCAAGAAGCCACCGATCGAACTCGTTCGCGCGCGCCATGGCCGCCGCGAACGCAGGCCCCGAGGCCGAGGCCGCTGCCGCCGGCCACCGTTTCGACTTCGACGTCATCGTGGTGGGCGCGGGCATCATGGGCAGCTGCACGGCGCACGCGGCCGCGGCCCGCGGCGCGCGGGTCCTGCTCCTGGAGCGGTTCGACCTGCTGCACCACCTGGGCTCGTCGCACGGCGAGTCCCGCACCATCCGCGACGCCTACCCCAAGGCGCAGTACCCGCCGATGGTCCGCCTCGCGCGCCGCCTCTGGGCGGAGGCCGAAGCCGAGTCGGGCTACAGCGTGCTGACCCCGGCGCCGCAGCTCTCCATGGGCCCGCGCAGCAACGCGTCGCTGCTCGCCGCCATCAGGAGCGACCCCGGCGCCGAGGAGGAGGAGGCGGACCTGGCGCGGAGGTGGGGCGGCGCGTTCCGTGTCCCCGACGGCGACGGGTGGGTGACCGCGGTGAGCGAGCGCGGCGGCGGCGTCCTGAACGCGACCAAGGCCGTGGCCATGTTCCAGGCGCTCGCCGTCAAGAAGGGCGCCGTGATCAGGGACAAGACGGAGGTCGTTGGCGTCAGGAAGGAACCCGAGGAGGAGGGAGGAGGCGTCGTGGTGACGACGAGCGCCGGCACCGAGTTCCACGGCGGCAAGTGCGTGGTGACGGTAGGCGCGTGGGCGAGCAAGCTGGTCCGGTCCATCGCCGGCGGCTTGGAGCTCCCCATCCAGCCGCTGCACACGATGGTCCTGTACTGGCGCATCAAGCCCGGCCGCGAGCGGGACCTCGCGGCGGAGTCCGGTTTCCCGACGTTCTCCAGCTACGGCGACCCGCACGTGTACGGCACGCCGTCGCTGGAGCTGCCGGGCCTGATCAAGATCAACTACGACGGTGGCCCGCCGTGCGACCCCGACGGCCGCGACTGGGCCCACGGTGGCGGTGGCGTGGAGGAGCGGGTTGCCCGGTGGATCGAGGAGTTCCTGCCCGACCACGTGGACACCGCCGGCGGGCCGGTCTCCAGGGTGTCGTGCATGTACTCCATGACGCCAGACAAAGACTTCGTCATCGACTTCCTCGGCGGCGAGTTCGGGAACGACGTTGTGGTCGGGGCTGGGTTCTCAGGGCACGGGTTCAAGATGGCGCCGGCGGTGGGGAGGATCCTGGCCGAGATGGCCATCTATGGCGAGGAGAGGACAGCGACGGAGGCCGGCGTGGAGCTCGGCAGCTTCAGGATCAACCGGTTCGAGGGTAACCCCTTGGGAAACGCCAAGAATTAGCGAACTACTGGATCATTCATCCGTAGAAGTTCAATCGTAGGCTTGTCCGATATCAAATATGTGACACATCACACATAATAAGGTAGTCGTTATACACGCACTGCAACAAGAAATGGTTAAGGGAAGATTTCCAAGCCATGTGAACGTGATCTCGAAGATCACAATAACGGATATGTGCCCATCTTCCATTGGTCTTTCAAAGAAAAAATCAGCTTCAATTTCAATCTCTTGTTTTTTCTTGATGCAATTATTGGACTTGTGCAATATGAAACTAAACAATACTCACTCCGTTCCAGACTGGAGCCGTTCCGGTTTTTCTAGGTATATTTTGTTATTATTAAGTAACTAGATATACGTTACCCGTGTTTTTCTTTCCCTGATTCCGCCACTGCTTGCAGCTATATGTCTGCATCGTTGCGCAATGGGAATGCCTTATTGCCTTCAAGGCTTCACCACAAGGTTACAGATACACAGTCAATGAACACCGAGTACAGCGTGCATAACTCAGTAAAGGAAGCCCAAAGCTCTGGGTGGAAATCCAACCATGAATGAATCCAGAATTCCAGATACGGCTGCAGCCTGCAGCTGCAACAACAATGCTGCATACATGGTATCCAAGCATCAGCCAGCAGGTAGAGTCCAACAAAAGCACAAATATAGTTGCAACTGCTCCTTCCCAAACATGTATTCTACTAGTACAAACCACTGCAATATACAACCCTTCCCCATCACGGGGCAGGATGTTTCTCTTCCAGCATCTAACTTAACAGTATATAATTTAAAGTGTGTATCTTGGCATCGAGGCATTGCTCTGCAAGGTATTAGTTCCTACAAAAATTCGCAATTCCCAATAGGAAAAGGGAGCCGTCCTTTTGTCAACCGCCCTGTTTTCTACTATACCTACATATACAGCTCAAGCTGATGGCCTCTTTGGATAAAAAGTCACCTATCTGAGCACTTACGTCTCAGCTGATGTAGCTCCTTAGAAACCCAAGCCCTCCAAGCAGGGTTGAACCGCCAGATCTCCTGGGGCTTGGTTCTGCTGAGCTTCGCACACCACTCGGTAACTCAGAGGGTCCTTCCTTCACTGAGCTTGCTCTGCTGAGAGCACCTGGTTGATCCTGCATATGTAAGGAGTTACTAATAGCTTATGCTGCAAATTCTGAGTATAGGCAAATCATGGTTTGAGTTTAACAAAAGAAATTGTAACTCTTAATTATATTGCTGCATGAATGCAAATTAATACCATCAGATCGCACACACTATCTGTAGAAGTGAACACAGTGAACAGATGATACTTGTCCAACTAGGTGAAAGGTGGATAGGGTCAAAGTTCAACAACAGACAACAGTTAAACAGTACATTTTTATTAAAGCTATTATTGTGCTTCTTTATGAATACTTAAACCTATATATACTGGTTAAAGAATGTTATATATTACTAGATTTTACCATTTTTGTTATTGGAATGTAAAGCGCAAAGTGAAAATAAAACTACTACACTACTCCAAAGTATGTGGCAACACAGCAGAACCAAAGTAGGCTCAGTTAATATGCTACAGAGAATTACGAAGGTGACAACAAATATATACACTTATTTCAGAACAGAATAAATGAGAAACAAAACATATTATCACAATATATGACACGCGCCACTCAGTTGTCTTTAATATGTTCCATCCATCGAGATGCATTGCATAGGGGCGTACCCAGTGCAGAGAGCTCGCGCTCTGTGCGGGGTCTGGGGAAGGGTGTTAGTGGCAAGCCTTACCCTCGCCTGTGCAATGCGAGGAGACCGCGACTCGAACCCGGGACCTTCCGGTCACAAGTGGTAAGACTCTACCGCTTGCACCAGGCCCGCCCTTCATGCATTGCATAGACAGCAAATATATTAATTGTCTTATCAATGTGCACAGTGATCATTAGACAGAACAAATCATGAACAAAACTAATTTTAAATCACAAAGCACCTTAGTTGATCAGTGTCTTACTCTTTTAGGTGGTATTGTAGTTCCAGCTAGCAAACTAAGTCCCGATGCTGACATGATTGTAGATGAGCGCACAACCTACAAAAGCAAATTCTATCAGATGGAACAAGACAGGTCAATTGTATTCTCAAACAAGAAACCAAACCTGACCTTAGGTGCCTCTATTCTAGGAGAGACTGGTTCCATAGCTGGGGGCAAAGAAGCAGCCTGTGGGGAAAAAGATCAATTAGTGAAGATCCAAATTTTTAAAAATGTAAGATATCTCAATAATTTTACCCTAACAATTCTCTCTGAGGATTCAATAGCAGGACGAGCAGTTGATGATGTAACCTGAAAATTGTATGAATAATAACAATCAGCAAGGATGAAACAAGATAGTTGCCAAATTCCATAAAATGCATCAAGTTGGTGTCACTCTGAAATCTGTGCAACAATGGTCACCTACATTTTCGTTTATAAACAAAGTTGTGCCCTAGGAAATTATAAGAGGACTGAGGTTCAAACTTCTCACAGGTCATAGGCTCAACATGATAATGTTCACAATAAATTCATAAGCAGTGAATGTGTTGACTTGCCTGACGAGTATCAGCCTTCGGGCTCTGATCCAATTTTTTAGTGAATTCACACAAGTCATATATTCCTCGTGTTGTCCGATCCTAAGACATTTCAGTATGAGATTAGAAACATAATTGAGTCGCTGGGAGAAAAATGAGTCAGTGATGTAAATATCTACTTACTTGAGTATAAGCTAGGCGTCCAAGCTTTGTCTCCTGCAACACAACAGGTAATCAGTTTGTAGTTAGCACTACGAGTGAATCAGTTCATCTTGGACAGAAAGGGAGAAATAAGCATGGTACAATGTACCTACCAAACTACGAACTACAAGATGAACTGTTTCCATTTCCTTCTGGAAGGCACTTAGATCTCCATGGATGATTGTAACCTATGAAATAATTTTGTCAGTCTCCACTAAATTACACCAGATCTTGATAAAAGCAAAGCATATGGGTAAGATTCAAACCTCTTCCCTTGTGGCTTCTGTAATTTCTCGGCATTCATCTAAACTACAATCTACACGATCAATCCTTCCAGCAAGATGTCTCTTTGCAACCTGATATGAAAATATTTCACATAAGTAGATTACCAGATGCAACAGTAAGAGTCAGAACACCTAGATGCTGCCATCAAAATAAGTTAATCTAATGACTGGAGTCATATACGGTGAAGCCAAGGAATCTTTTTTTTTTTTCTTATTGGGTCATTTTTTTTCCTCTTTCCAGTCAAAATATGGCATAGGGACTTGAAAGTATATAGAATTCATCTATATTAAAAAGTATGATTGGTATATGCACATATAAATAATTCAAAAACAAAACCGTACATAAGCATACTCACTCTATTTCTACGTACTTGATACTTTTGGCCAAAACTTTCGTTAAATACTTGCTCTCTCGAAGGCACATTTCCCCAAATTTATCATGTAAGCTTACCAATCGCCATAGTTTACTACCTTGTTTAATGAGGAGGGTGTAATGGCCAACTTACTATGTTCTTGAGTTCACTGGTCAAAAGTGCCACGTATATGGACACAGCAGGAATACAAATATAAGGTATAGAATCATAATGATATAGGAAACAACCATCGTAAGAACGGTTCTGTTGCGAATTGTTGGTCCATTGATGTTTTAATCAAACAGCCTTTAATCTAATGAGGTGTATGTTTAAGTTTGGATGAACAAATGAAGAAAGTTAACAAATTTTAGAAATTTATATAGCACCTTAGTACTTATTTTAAGGGGGTAGCATAAGATCTGTGGATCACTGCAACGCGCATATGAGAACCTGAAGGTCTAATAGTAACACCACAGTGAAAGATGGAAGAAGAAACTTACATTAACACTTTCTGAAACCTGATCCACTTGTTTCCCCACTACATTGCAAGCATCTGATAACCCACGCTTCGTCACAAACATCATATCAGAAAGTTTCCACCCCTGTAATCATAAAGTTAGCTCTAGTGGAATTGACATTGGCCAAACATCAAATGGTACAGTAGGAATAGCATTCGCACAGTTTAGTGTATAACCATTCACTAAAATGGTAAGAAAGAGAACTTGCTGCCAGCAGTACAATCTAATATAGATTTGATTAATATACTTTCTGAGCAATATTATCCTTTCACCAAATTAAAAACGAAAGATGTACCTTCCATCTTATGAATAAATAGCCAATAGCTCCAATAACAACAGCTGTTATACCATATGCACCAGGGCCTGCAACATGAAAATTTTGCTATCATTGGTCCAAAAGTCAATGAAGTTACTTGAAAACTAAAGGCTACAAATTTAACTACTCTTAAAATAAAATAAAATAAACCAACAAGCATTCTGTGGAAAAAACACATCTATGATCAAGTACCAATTCCTAGTAAGCTAGGGCCTGTTTTGATCCTATGCTTTTTTTCTTTTTTTTTTTTTTTTTTGGGGGGGGGCGGACTGGTGCAAGCGGTAGAGAGTCTCACCTTTGTGACTGAAGGTCCCGTGTTCGAGTCATGGTCTCCTCACATTGCACAAAGCGAGGTAAGGCTTGCCATCGACACCTTCCCCAGACCCCCGCACAGAGCGGGAGCTCTCTCTGCACCGGTGCACGCCCTTTTGGGGGGGCAGCTAATAGCATTTTATAAGCAGGGTGGTTGGATAGCTCAAGCTGGGCTGTTTGGATCAGCTAGAGTGTTTTTTAGCAGCTTTCTATTAGCTACAGTCTACAGCTGAACCAAGCAGGACCTTCGAAAACAGCAGGATGAACAAAGATTTTTTTTCTTTGATGACCGGTTTTCAGATGAAGGCCAGCAGGTTAAAAGATCATTAGCATGTACACCCTCTGTTCCAAATTATAAGTCGCTTTGACTTTTTTGGTACATCAATTTTGCTATGCATCTAGATATAATAATATGTATACATACATAGCAAAATGGATGAACCAAAAAAGTCAAAGCGACTTATAATTTGGAACG